TCTATTTCATCCCACAAAAGCTGCAAGAGCCTTTCCAACCCCATCCACACAACCCATCTTGGTTACAGTATGCAGTAAATCATGTGAAACACGCAGGAATGCGCTGTTCATTAGCAGCTCTGTCTCTCATGTGTGAAGACAATACACATTTCTCTGTCCATCCCTCATTTCTATACGTTTGGTCGTAATATTTGCATGTGAAAAACACTAATGCTTAGATCAAATGAGTCTATACGAATGGACAAGCAAACCATACTTTTTTCTACAGACCATATTGACCTCAAGTATAGCAAAATTTCAAGTTGCATTATGCTTTTTTTGAGGCACCATTAAGCTGTTGTCATTCTATTCCTGAAAGTGTAACTTCACAGTATTAATCTATGCATATTTTGAACTGTTTGTAATCTTTGCCTCTCATGACATGCAATTGTCAAACAGTTTTGGCTGAACATGAATGACGCTCAAAGAAGAATAGCCACACTCAGGCCTTTTCTGCATTTTTAACACAAAAAAATGCTAGATTTTTGCTAATGAACAACAAAAGAAGGAGCATGGTATTTATGATTCATTAATAAAGGAAAGAGTTGATACTCAGTGCAAGTGAGATAAACACCAGTCACAACAACAAATAATCAACTCTTTCTATTCTGATCTTGAAGTGTATTAATGTAAAATGTATGTATGTATATACATAGTTCTGACTGAAAGCATTGTATCAAAAGCAATTATTTTCTGCTAGGGTTCTCAACCCCCACCTCACACTTAACTCTTGCTGTCACTGTGGGACATGTAAGTTTTATCTGGCTTACTTTTATTGAATTTATGCATCTTAACACGATGCTGGTACTGCATTTATATTTTTGTTTATCTTGCTTTCCAATACCATGCCTTAAAATACTCACAGCCATGAAAAGACTACTTAGAATCACTACATTTCACTACATGATAACCATTCCAATTGTTTTGGCATTTTGTGCAAAGAACTGTTGATTTAAATCTGCTTCTAAGCCCCTCTTAAAAAAACAAAAAAGGATTCAAAGAAAATCAAGAACATCTTCTCAAGGGAGGTAATTTTGAAAAGAGCGATGGCATAATTTTGACTGGTATCAGTTCTTCCCAGATGTGAAATTGGGAGGGACTAATTCCTTTTTTCTCCTGTTCACACAAAAAGAAGGTGCTGAGCATAAATGCATGTTTGACCATTATCCATGTAAACCTTGAGCTGCGGTATTCCCAGCTGTCTCACTTGTTGGTTTCACATAAGCACAGACATGGATTAGTGAAAATGTGAATCCATGTTAAGAATTTCTGTATGAATATACACAAGGGATAAGTTCTTCTGGTCCTTTTGCTGAATTCTTGTATTCAGTCTTCTGTTTAAGCATGTTTTTTTGCTTAATGATCAAAGATTTTCATTTTCTTATATATGATTCAAAATTTGAAAAGGTTTGAAAAGAAACAGCCAGAATCCGATGACCGGCTTTGAAAGATTAAACATTTCACATCAAAGCTTGTGACTGTCTTGATTCATGTAAAATGGGTGGATTTGTCAGCTTTTCTGAGCATCATTTATCTGCTTATATTGCTGTTTTTCCTGTTTATCTGGCATATGTTCGATGTCTTTCAGAGGTATTTTGCATGTACATATAGAAAAAACACTGAAATCAGGAAATAAAAGGTGCTGTACTTTTATTGATGGAGTAGATTTAACAGGAATAGCGAGAACTGTTGAAGGCAATCAGCACACTGAGACTTACAACTTAAAAAGTTGTCAAAAAATGTATATTTTTTGTTTTTGTTTTTTTACATAACCTTTGAGTCTTTACTAAATGCAATGAAATCAAATAGTGCAAACTATTTAGCAACAACAGCCTGACATTTTTTCAACTCTAGTAAACCTTATAAAGACTAGAAAATAAATAAACCCATAAACCTAAAGTGTGGTAATTGCCAGTTGGCAAAAGTATACTTGATGGCCTTGCTCATTTTCCACCTTTGTCCTGGAATTTACCATTATCAGCTCATTATTGGCTGGATCAGTATAAGCATTATCCTCTGTTGTTCTAGTTTAGTTATTTTTGTTCCTCTTTAAAAACGCAGAGGCCCAGCTGTGATGACATTTACATTACAGCATTGTCTTCTTCCTCTATAGTTGAAAGTGGGAGAAGTATGCAGGAAAGTCAAATAGTTACGGTGTTCTAAATGTGTTCACTTTCTCCATGTGATCCAAAGCCCTTTTGGAGCTCACAAAGAAGACCTAGGATTCCACCATCTTCACTTTGTTTAATTCTTATTGATTCCATTTAGAAATTTAGTGAAATTAGATTTGCCTGTCCTTGCATGTGTGATGCTGGGAACATTAAGCTCTCTTACTACTAGTAATGGTTACATACACTAACACTGATCATTTTGGGGGTCTGTGACACTATTTTGCTTTCGCTTAGGAGTCAGATGCTTGTCTTGTAAGACACGGTAGTATTGATTGCAGGTCTTTGGTTACTCTCGTAAAGCTTGCACATCTGTGGCACCATTGACATTCAGCTCAAATGGGGAGGGGAAAGCATGTTGATTACCCTCAAGGGAACCAGCAAGGGCATGCTTTGGACATGATGACCAGTGGTTCCATCAAGTGCGTATAATTTTCTCTTTCGTTCACTGTATTGCATCCATGCACAGTGACAGGGCTTAAGCAAATGTTTGGGTCATCTTCATTGTGTATTCCTTGGAGACGGTCTTCAAAGAAGCAGCAGGAGGCATCTAAAGCCACCACTGAATAGTTAATGTTCTCATTTGCCTCTGTCCTTCTGCTGGGAACAGTTTAGAAATCAGAAAATTAATAGCTTTTGTTTTCTTTTTGGTGTCTTGTAACAAGACATTGGTTAGAGATAACGGGGTATATTCATTCAAGTCACCACACTCTGGGGATTTAGTTTGTAATGAAAAAAGCGTTTGTGTTTGGTCAGCAAAGGTAAGATTTTGCGTTATTGGAATCCATCAATCTTCCTATATCCTCAAAGAATGCCTATTCTGAAGGGACATGCTGTTTTCCGGAGGAGGTGATGGAGCATGATGTACCAGAAATCATGAAGCATATTTTATGTGCCAGTCAAGGGTTGTGGATTAAGAAAAGCTTCTTATTTTTTCCCCCAGATTTATTTATTTACTAATCAAGACAAAAGCATCACTGATTTGGAGTGAAAGGAGACCATTTGTTCAGGCAGGTATTGTTGCGGACCATGAAATTCTATTTTGGATATGCTTGGATTGAAAAATGTATTCATTTATTTATTAGTGGCAGTGGTGATTTTTTAAAAAGATCACCACTGCAAAGTTTTCAGTGGTCACAAGTTAATTCAAAAGACACGACAGAACTCTGTGACTTGAAGCTAATGGTTGAAGGCATCTAACTCAGAATCCAGCCTAATGGCACCAGCTTTTGTTTCTAAACAGTTTTCCTATTTACATACACCATATTTTGAGAAACTTTTGAAAGTTTTGGCTTATAAAAATGATCGATAATTCTTGTTACTACTGTCTATCTTTTGGCTATTTCAGCCTCACTTTCAGTGTTGTTTGTATGATTGATTCTGAGATTTTGAGAAAAATGATTGTTTTCCTCTTTTTCTAAGAGAGGAATAAGAAGTCCAGTACTTCTCGCATTCAGCTGGATATCTTAGCTCTTCATAAAGACTGCAATTGAATAATCTCCAAGAAGTGGATATCACTTGTCTACTCAATTTTCATATCTTTGCTGTATGAGCTGCCATATGAACAGCATAAAATGCACTTGACAGTAAATCAAGACCGAGTGTAAAACACATTTATCTTTCTCTATGTATCCTCTGCATTCTGCCCTGAATTTTTTTTCATCCTCTTTGTATGCATTGAACAAAGGTTAAACAGTTAACCATAAACGTGCTAGTAACTGGCAAATACTGACCAAATATTGTAATTTTACTGATTGTGTCTGTTAACTAGTAAAATGGGGATTGGGATATAGACATATTTCCCAAAGTGTTTAAATAATCCCTCAAGAATTGAGGATTTAGATGAAGGAAGCAAAAAAACAGTTGCCTACATTGCCAACATTTTAGACATTTGTGTGCCCTCATATTCTGTCTCAAAAATCTCCTTTAACTGTTAGAGGCAAGAACAAGGGCCTTCAGTGAATGTGTCAATCTACTTTGTCCTTTAACTATGCAGGATGCTTTTTTTCTTGTTGTATTGAAAAGACGAGGAGGAAAAAATGCAACAAACATTTAGATTCCTGTAGTAGAAAACACTTATTTGTGAAATCAAAAATAAAATCTAAACATGAGTACATATAAATTATGCTGTTTAAAAATAGGCGAGAAGGAGGGCACATAGATTCCCACACCTTCTTTTTCAGAGACTTAGGACCTATACAATACAGAGGGGCTGATTAGGATTGCAGACAAAAGGACGGAAAGTCTTCCGCTGCCTCTTTGAATTCATTGTCATTAGCAGTGGAACACCAAGCCCTTTTCAAACTCATTAGTTGATAAAACAACCCTCTGATTTTCCATTAAAAAACCCATTCGTCCTCCCTCAGTGGTGATGCCCCCCTCCCCTAAATCCACATCTCTGCATTTCCACACCTTCAAAGCCACTCCTGAGACTAGGAGAGAAATACCAGCTCTTATGAAATGTTTTCTTTTTTTAAAACAAGTTTTTGTTTTCACAACTATCAAACTGAATGAAGACCCACTGCTGCTTATGTGGGCCTATTGCTTATTATGGCTATGCAACATTTACAATCCTTTTCTACCGTAGAATGACTTTCTTTTAAGCTTTCATCCCTTTTGGGATTATGAGCTGATGGGGTCTATTAATAGACTGAAATGGAAAAGTAATTGTGCCATGATGCAGTTGATTTGTGACTGGATTTCTCAGGTGTGTGAATAAGTATCCATTCTTTTCTGCTTACAGAATAACCAGGTGGTTGTTGAATTAAAAAGGAGAAAATCAGTTTTAGTTTCCTGGCAGAATAACAATTTATTTCAATGTTGACAAAAGAATTACATATTTGTGCTTTGTGTACTTTAACAGCTTTTTTTATATACACTTTAATACACTGTTTTACATGTATGTACATATATAATCTCTTGTTATGCATACCTAAATTAAATGATCAGTTATTGATTATTCATACATTTTTCCAGCACACCCATCTGTACACATTTGATAATCTGAAATTGTAAACAAACAAACAAACAAACAAAAAATAACAATATGCTTTCAAATAGTCAAAAACATTCATTTAAAGCTGTGTTGTGTCAAAATTCAAGTCAGCACATTTCATTCAGCCAGGACCAATTTCATCATTTGAACGCTTTTATCCATTATCGAAAAAATAGCTCAAGTGCCAACTTGTTTTTATCTTGGTGTGATCCACGTGAATCAAACCAAGACACATACGAGAGGGTAATTACATACAACCTGAAGCAGTGCAGCTTAACCTAGTCTTTCTGCTTCGTCGCTATCTGAGATCCTGAAGACGCACCTGAGCACAAAGTTTGTATTTCAAGCAGTGACTCTGAGAGGCAGTGATGCCTCATGACACATTTCTTCATCATAATATAGCTCAGAGGCAGTTCGGTTTTCTGGGGGGGTAAAGTAACACCTAATAATGGCTGAGGGTGTCTTACAGATTTGCATGGATGTCTTCATGTCGCAGCACTTTATAGGTCACCCAGTAGAAGATGTTGAATATGAGGAAGCTCAGGGGAAAGACAGCTCTGGATATGGTGTCAATCCGTTTAGCCCGGTCAACAAAACGCTTGTGAAGAACTTCTCCATTGTATATGGCTACTGGAGGTGGTGGGGCAAACACTGTGGCGCCTTCCACAGCGGCGCCATCTTTGGTCTGCAGGCAGTGACCAAGTCCATAACCTCGGAAGTAAAAACCGCGACTCTCCCTCACCAGTTCTTCCTCCTGCAGAGTCAAAGATGAAAAATAAATTCTGTCAAAGGGAATCATCAAGCAGCCATTTCCCCTCTCTGGCTCATTCCTGAATACAAACAAAAAAAGACCGTACAGGGTAAGAAAGACTACAGAACAAACAGAAACAAGGTCTAAAATAAAATATTTAAAAAAAGGAAAATATTCAAATTTAATGTCATCAATTGAAGTCAAAGACTGAAAAAACAACTTTTTTTAAAATATACATTTTAATGTGCATTTAAAAAAAGTCATTCTTAAGTGGGCATCAAGTCCTAAAATTCCTTAATAATGAGGAAAATGTGCAGTTGTAAGACAAGTATTCATACCACTTGTTCATTGTATGAGTCATACACGATTCATAAAGGATTTTAGTTAGTCAAAAAATCAAGTAAGCAAGTAGAATTGATCATAATTTTAAACAATATTTCTTCAATCTATTCAGTTTTTACATTTTACAAGTGCATCTTATCAAAAATAAAAAAGTTTGGACTCAAAAATCCGGAATTGGGCAGAAATGTTTGGAAGACCATTTCATCCTATAGTGTATACACGCAACGCCTGACGATTAGACTGACTTGGAACCTGACCTTATCAATATTTCAATTCAAGTGCAAATACACTAGCTAGCCTCAAACACGAAGATATGTGGTCCAAAACAGAAATTTCCAACTATATTTTCAACTTTTCAAACACACTAACCTGTCATGCCAAGCAAAGGAGGACCTACAGGTCTAATCAGAGAGAAACTCCATACATGTATAAAGTCATAGGCTATTTCAATGCCTTTAAGGGAACCTTGAGGTTATTTAAACAATGAAAAAAATTAAAAAGTTTTAATTATTTAACAAGACCATGTTTCTATAAAACAAAGGGGGGTAAGCTGAGGGCATCTTCATCTAAGAAAGAAAAAGCAAATGTCTTTCTGAAAGTTAATGAAATAATTAACCTCCTGCCTTTCCAAATTTGCAGAATGACAGATATCTAAAAGTGTTAAAGAAAGTTGTTCTAAATATGAATAAAGTGATGATATGAGTTGGCTTTGATGAATTGTGGTTAACATTTTTTCCCTCCTCTTACAGTGTATGAGGTATTGTTCTTGCCCTTTGAGGAGAATATTAATAGACATTCATCTTAAATCTGACAGTGCTCTGACACTTTGAGAGTCTCACTTTGCATCGGAAAGTGAAGATCTAAATTGGATGATTAGTGGTCAGTGTGAGGGGCCCTGAAAGCTCTGATAACTGCATCACGCCTCTCCATCTCTTTCCCACTGACCCCAGCGTTTTTCTGGTTGTCTGGTGAACTCTCTTTAGCTGGACAGATTTGGCAGACACACCAACCATTCCACTGCTACTGCTAATGTATTTGACACCTGTCTCTGCTTCTCTGTTACTGTCAAATTAGTCTTTGCAGCTCTTTCTCCAACAGTGGTCTTTCCAATCTTACCTTTGCCTTTGCCAAGACCTTCACTGAGTTGTAAGGCACACACTTAATTTCCTTTAAACTTCCTTGTCTCATGGCTGCCTGTTGGTAACCTCATGGCTACTGTATGTTGTCCAGATGACAAACTGCACCATACAACAGAGGGATAGGGAGTCCAGGTTGTTTCATCGCAGCGTAATTATCCCTTCTACACTTTCTTAAATGATAGAGCACATCATGTGCTAAAGTCTAACGGTGCGTTTCTCTGCAGGTAATAGGTGCTCTGCTCCATGTTCACTGCAGCACCTCTTCATTGATTTGATGGCACAGGATCAGTCGAACCTACTCTATCTACTTTGGAAAGAAAATATATATATATTTTTTTCTATTTGTGTTTGTTTTTGTATATTAAAAACAAGGGTTTTATTGCTGGGGTACAAATCATCAAATGTGTCAGAATTTACACGTAAAATGATATAGCTCCCAAATAAGCAATGTTTATGAAGCAGTTTGCTAGATTAAGGAAGCACAAATACTGAAAAGTATGATAAATGATGTCTGACCCATTTATTTTTCAACTTCACATAGTTATGTGAGTGACAAGAGGACCTGACTACTTTTTTAAGTGACCTTAGAGAGAAATATACCTTCCAACTTTAAACTAAGGTGTCCTTAACTACCAGTCAAGTATTTTTGGAAGGAATGGAATAGAGGAAAGAAAGACATATTTCGGCATATTTAAACATTATAGGAAACATTTAATTTGAGTAGATTAAAATGAACCAAATCAGAAGAAGTTTAGAAAAGATTTAATCAGACCCTTAAATCCACAAAACTAAAATAAGGTGTTCTGGAGAATGCAATATTGTCCAAAAATGTGACAAAATGGCAATATTACAGGCCGAACATGGACAACTATTATATTAAAAGAAGAAAAAGTATATTGTTGATGCAGAGTGACTGCATGTGAAGAGACAAAACCACATCTGGGACAACTGCCATGTAAAGGAAATTATATATGCTAACCTCATCCAGGTGCTGTTATTCATCCCAAGTTGGATTAATTTGTTTTTAATGAGCTGCTTGCTTGATATAGATAAATTAATTTGACAAGAAACTGTAAATGTAAAGATATTGTAAGGGTTGGAAACTAAAGTAAAAATTTGACTCAAATAGAACAACAAAGGTGTGATGGATTTCAATAAACTTTTTAAAAGGGTTCACACTGGGAAAGCAAAAAAAAAAAGGAAAGTGTTCCAAGTTGGTAATAATAATGGTATAAAGGAACAAAAGGTCAGAAGCGGAGGGCTACAGAGACAGGGTGAGATCAGCACAACGTGGGTTTGGTTGCAGGAGAGGGGCCAGGATAAATACATGTTTGAGGTGAAAGTTTCACAACACAATCAATTCTTGAGGCTGGAGGCATGAACAAAAATTGGGTTGGAAGGTCAGGGTTGACACAGGGCTCTTTTTAAATGTTTTTTTTTTCACCCTTGCACAGGCGCTGCAGTGCTGACTCAGATTCCTGTTGGTCGAGTTGTTACCAGGGATGTCACCAGCTTTCTGCAACGACTCAACACTCTCAACCTGACTGCCAGTCTCCTCCATTGGAAAAGGCAAGGTAGAAACATTGAAGAAACAGGTAGAAACAGTTACTGCTCTTTATTTAATCCTGAGCTGAAAGGCAGTTTGGGGCTACAGAGGAAATCATTAGAGCAGAAAGTTGTTTTGGAAAGATGTTTCATGTATTCACAGGAAAACATTTTCTGAAACAATAAATCCGATCATCCAAAAAATGTAGAGAAAACCTTCAAATCAAAACAGCAGATGATATAAGAGACTCTGAAGTGATAGAGAACATCATTAGCAGCTTTTAAGAGAACTGACCTTGTAGCAAGATATAATCATCAGTCTGTCCAGTTTATTCCTGTAAGGACTATAAATGGTATTGCAGATCAGTTTATTTTTAAAGGTTTGAAGGTTAAGTGGAAAGGAGCATAAACTATCTCTTTGTAATTTCTAAGGTGCCAAACACAAGGTTATATGCTGCCATCGATTGATATCAAGTCTGTTTGGGGTTTGTATGGTCCATGACATTCCCAGCCTCTCTCCAGTAAAGCACATTTTGTCAAGTGTCAATACCTCTCAGATGGATGCTTTACGACTTCAGACTTCTCTGGGAGAGTAATTGTGCCACTGATGTGCGCAGGGCAAGTCTTTTCCCCCCTGAGAGTCCGTCAGACTGCCCAGTAAATTGTCTGGACTCTTCCGCATTTACTGGACGCTTGGCTAAAAGTCTGGGATGTTGTCTAGCTTTGAGCTCTTTAATGGGATTTTGAAATTGTGTTGTCTATAGCTCTTGAGAAAAAGTATTTTCCTCGCACCTCTTTTCCAATAGTTCTATGGGAAACAGATCCAGTTCAGGGGGGGGTGTGGTGGAATGAAATGCAACACAAGTCCAAATTCCAAATCAAAGATTTAAAATTATGCAAAACAACATGAAAAGGCAAATATTTAAGTCAGGTGTCAGCTTGGTGTGACTATCATCAATCAAATGTAGGGGATGTTGGATGATTGCCACACATGGTCTTGTCACATCACACAACATTATGGTACAAGGGGCTGATCAGCTTAAGGGGGTGTGCTTGTTTACAGAATAACTGTCAGGTCAGGGAACTATTGGTCTCGTCCTATCTTGCTCACATTGCATGGCAGTTGGCAGCATGATTGATGTTCTTAGTAAAAGGTTGCAGAGGACTTTACAGTGAGACATCAGCCTGGCACCAGATGGGTTACTCATGGTCATTTTAACCAGAAGTTGTTTTTTACTGTGGCGGTTCTCTTGAGCGTGTTGGGGAGATGAGTTTGTTCCTAGGTCTTGGTGTATTGACCCAGGAAAGTAACACATTCTCTCATATCAACTAATCTGGAACCAGTTAAAGCAATTTCCATCCATCGAATATTTATAGCAAAAGTTACTCATAGAGTCATAGAGATCCATGGTACAGCATCAACATGACTGTATATGGTATTGCCCAATGCCTCATTGTGAGGGTTGAACATATCATCTGGTTGTTTACCATGTCCAGTCTGGAAATAGTCTGGCACGCTGTGTAGCACACAGCAAAAGTATTAACTGGTGCAGTAGATTGGGGGATCTGAGTGCTGCTGGCAGCTGGAGAGGCTTTGCTCCTTGTCAGATGCAGTGACAAAGATAAAGGATCACAAGGCTCCTCACAGGTCAGTGCTCACCATGGAAATGAGCTGAACTGAATGAGCAGATCTTACTCATGCAATATGACAGCCAGCTGTAGCATGCTGTTGTCAGCTCCTGAATATATAGCACGCAACAATAACAAGAGGCATAAGTCAATGTTATGGGAGCTGACAAGGACCCGTGTATCTATATCTGGTTTGAGAATCTCATGTTTACTTTTTTGGGATCTGCTACCATGTGAGATGATGTCAGTGAGCATGTTATTATTCTCAAAGCAGGCTTTACATGTGTTAGTTAGTGCATGGTTTACACTTACTATTCTCTGCTGCCGCTGCTTTTTCCTCAGCCTGATGAACTCCTTGTGTTGCCTTGAGACAAAGTTCACTGCGGCATACTCCAGAAGAGCAGCAAACACAAAAAGAAGACAAACTGCCATCCAAATGTCAATGGCCTTCACATAGGACACCTGTGGACACACAAGGTCACAGAATAATCCATGACTAATCAATAAGACTGATTGATATTTTGTAGGTCATTTATATTCCCACTGTTTCTCAGCTCTAGCCTGTACTGACATACAACCTCAAGTTGACCCAGAATTAGAATGAGTCAGTTGGTTGGGGGCAGTGAACGCAAAGCTATAGGACAGGTCACAGCCATGTCTTAGTGTGGCCCAGCTGTGTCATTCACGATAAAACTGTGTCACAGAGCATCAGCACTGCTTGCAGAGCACAGATGCATGGACACTCAACTGAGCAGCGTTTTTGCTGACTGTTACAGATACAAACAATGAGACAGGAAAAAAATGCAAACGGTATTAAACATCCATCATGCTCGCCACAATCTGTGTCTTGCTTTCTCTGAATCAGCCAAACAGCGAGTCATGACTAAATATTGTATGGTATAACCTTGTCCCATTCTAAGTCTTCCTCCAAATGACTCCGTTGCCTGACTTTGGAGGGCACAACCAGAATGCTCTTGGCACTGATCTGATATCAAACAGATTTTATGTTTTCTACTGTTTGTGACAATCTGGTTGGTATTGAGTGGAAATGACATAACAAAAAGAAAAGGTGGTGATTTTTCTAAATCATTAATCATTTTTGATTTTTTGATCATAAACACATATTTGGATTAAAAAAATTACAACAAGATAAGAAAATCTACTTTTTATCTAATTTCATGTTCGAAGTGTGGATTGTACCCCATCAGTTTGCATCTGCTTCCACACTGAGCCCAAGAAGCTGTAAATAACGGCGCAGACAAACCTTTGGCAGTGATGCTCTTGACCCAGAGCTCTGTGTGGTCATTGTGAGCACGGTGGTGATACCCAGACCCACTCTGGCTGGAGCAGCATCCATATTTATCCAGAAAGAGACCCAGGATAGGATAACGATGAGAAGGGAAGGGATGTACATCTGGATTAAATAGTAACCCATCTGCCGTTCCAGGTGGAACTTGACCTCAATGCAGGTAAATTTACCTGAAAGCACATGAGATGAGATATTCAGCTGTATCTGTATGGCAGGATGCATTCTAAATATATGTGGAAAGGTAGGTTCTTAAAAATACATTTTGGTCAAACATAACCAGACTGCATATCATTATGATCATTCAGCAAGTCTGAGACTAAATATAATAGGCCAATATCTGGCACTTTTTGGGCCGTTGGTTGTTAGGTAGTCTAAGTGGACTGTTTAATGTACCTGTGTTATAGTGCTTAGTGCAGTAGCCCAGATCCTTTTCTTCCTTCAGCAGAAACTGGGGGAGGGTAAGATCATCTGCCACTTGAACAGGGTTGTCAGACAGCCATTCAAATATCAAGTCATTCATAGTGTAACCAACTGTAAAAAGAGAAGAATGAGGACAGAGAAGATATCATAACACAGGAAAAACGTTATATAATGAGTGTCTAATTTGTTGCTTTTTACATGAAAACGTGCCAAAATCCTGATGGTTATGCCCACAAAATCCTAACCCACTTCTTTCCGAATGTCAGAAGCAACGTGGGTATGGTCATTGTGTTTGTCCTGCGCATTCCGGAAATAACATTGTCGAGTAAAGAGGATATCTCTGTAACAATGGTGAACATTGAATGTGTTCACATAAGCTGAGCTATCGCACCTGCACAGTACAAACTGTCTAACAAATAAATACATATATAAATAACATGAGATGGGCTGATACCTTTTTGGTTCTGAAAGTAAAATATGTTTTTCAAAATCTATTTTATTACTATTCTGCATATGTATACAGAGTAAAGGTTGATTTGTATGGTACTTATGAGTTGAGGGGTTTATTCATTTTTTACAGATGTGTGGCTACTAGTATATTGACTATGAACACTACTCAAAATGTCACACTTGTAATTGTATCACCAATCTGAAAATTTTCATTAAAAAAGTGGAATCCCACTGCATTGCAAAGAAAATTAAATGGCCCTCTTTTACTCCACCAGTTTTAGCCAAAAGGACTCAAGACATGGTGTTCATGAGCAATGAAAAGAAAATTCATGGGCCAGAATGTCTGGAATATTTCAGAAAGATAGAGTAATGACCATTCTTTCCATGCCATCTCTTTTCTCATATTTAAAAGTTGTTCGTCTACTAAAAGCTCAGTGCAGTTATGGTTATGCTTCTCATTTACCGTCTTGGTCTTGCTTTTCACTCATAAGTTGAATAGTAGATTTGAAGTTACTGCACACTATTGGCTCAAGGCAAAGTAAAGTGTTATAAGCTGCATATATTGGGCTTTGATGTGTCAGAAAAAGGCAGAATCCTATGGTTAGCGCTATTTATATATCTACATATGCCCATGGCATGAAAGGCCATAAAAGAAGATTGGCCTTGGCTCACTCAAACCTCAAAGATAACTTTTCCCCCCCATCATTCTTGTCTCTTGCTCCTGTTCATGCAGAACAGATGGAGTTGCCAACTCCAATGGTGACAGTAAAACCTATAATGTCCTTTTAACATTAAGCTCAAGGTGAGTATACCCTCGGGTGTTATAGTGGCACTTGTCAACACAATTGTGAGTGTCCTCAGTTGGCTTTTAATAAAAAATGATCACATCTTTAATGGCAGGGTAGTGTAATCGGTCCTTTGACACACACCATTATTAAAGATATCATTCTTACCTAATTGCATCCTTCCATAAAATGGTGAAACGTTTGACATTTTTGTTTTTGATTTAATTTAATCTTTTGAAATTGGTATTGGGTTCATTTGAAAAAAAACAAACATGTTTAATATTGGATGAATGTGGGACTGTTTGTATTAACACATCTGTAACTTTTCCTTGTTGAGTCAGATACATTTATGGGGGAAAAAAACTTATGCTATTTTTAAAAAATATCACTCCAAAAACTTCACTGCTAGTTTGCCTAATCTAAAAAATGTAATCCCTTTGTCCTTCTGATGGGGAACTAGGTCACCTCTAGGCACAGAGGTTGGGTCACATATAATAAAAGGATCACTGAATTAAAGTTTTATTATTTATATCCTGGAAATTGGTTTCATGAGGGCAGATGCTATCTCTGCTAAAGGCAATAAAAATCTGAAAAGGCAGGATATTATTCCTGCCTTAAGTTATCAGTGGAGTAATGATTTAAATGGTTTCAAATGTCTGTACATATTTCAGGTTTTAATTAATGTTCCATATATTTAAAAGAAAAAACGCTTTACCACCATTATGCTTTTCTTATTACTGCTATAAGAATTCTCAAGTTTTTCACTCACGTGCTTTATTTTTTCCTTTAAATCAAAGAGCAAATCTAATACTGAGAAACAGTGAATTATAAACTTGGAATACAACCACAGCCTCATCCCAACTTTAAAGAAATTACAAAAAAAAAATCTAAAATCTTTTCAGGATTGTGTTTTTCAAGCCCTTATATTTGTTCTCTGTCTTTCTCTTTCTCATTCTTTTTATCTCCCTATCTGTAAAGATGTTCATTTTTTTCCACAGTGTCATCTGACACTGTAATTGTAAATCGTAATCCTTTTTATTCAAGGACATATGTCCAGTGATTTCAGTTCTTCAAATGTATGATCACTCCCAGTGAAAGTTATAAATGGCAAACTGTTTCCTTTTAGTGACAGGCATCTATCAGCAGCTGTGCCTGCTGCTCCACATCCTAAGTGTCTGTGGGAGTGGTAGGAGCGCAAGCATAAGAAAGCAAGCCTGCCCACTATGTTTTGCTCACTTCCCTGGTGATCTGTTGACAATCTGCCAGGTTGGTGACATGGGTTTGGTAAATCAGGTTTTTAGTTATGGACAAATCAGCATGCACAGTTTACCATGACTGCATTTACTAACTCTAATGGGAACACGCTATACATAAGATGTGCTTATTGCAATATGAATTATTTTTCTTTTGAACCAAGAATTTTCTGGATGCTCCACATATCCCACAGCTAGACTGAAAGGGAAAATTAGCTATAAAACCATCTTCTGCTGTTGCTAAGTTACACATTGCCTGGCTGGTCTTGGGGGGGGGGGGGATCCTTCAGCCCCATAATATCAGAAAATCGAAAGCCTGAACAATCACATTTGAAGTATTAATAACAACAATAAACAGGCGCAATGATAGATAAACTTGAAACAAACAAACTTACAGATCAGATATTCAGTGTTTCTTGGATTACAGAAATATTAAACACTTTGCAAGCCAGGCAAAAGATGAAAAATATGAAGGCAAAGGGAGATAAATAAAAAAGAAGTTTGAAAATACAGTAAGAAGAATAAATTAAAACTCACAGCTTTCAAGCTGCATGGTACAGGTTTGAATGTCCATTGGGAAATTCTTCAAGTCCATAGGGCAGGACAGGGTTAGAGTCAGCCTGAGATAGAAAAACAGATTGGAAAGAAAGAACAGAAGCCAGAGGGGACGTCAAGGAGCTCAAGGAAAGGACACTATAAATTAATTATTAGGCATTTAGGTATCCTCTGTTAAAAAATTGAACAGCAACATCATTCAGGTAAAAGTTGATTTGTTTATTCATTTGTGTGATATGAACCTCCTGTGTTAAACCTCATTGATTTAAGTTAAGGAAGACAAATCTTAACTAATTATTTTAAACACCTAGAGATTGAAAAACATATTTTGTAACTGCCATTTGATCACTGTTTGAGCAATGGTAATAGGAAAGTAATTGTTGTAGGCATCCTGTCTTTATTTGTGGTGGTGTTGATGCATTAAGCCTTCAAGGATTCTTAGAGAAGAGACAGAGAAAGCTACTTAGGAGTCTGTCTAGAGGAAAGCTGTGTAATTACCTGCTGTAATGCATTGCCTAGAGGCGAGACGAGAGCCACCAGCATTATACACACAGGCATCCTCCTGATATTGTGCTATGATGACACAATATCTTCCACCAGCCAAAGAACAAAATAGAAAAACATCCCCTGTGATTTACTCTTCTTCTGCTTCTTAAATAGTGTCACAAACCTAAGGCAAATGAAGATATTTGATCTATAATAATAGAGCACAGTTAAAGTGCACATTTATATTTTAATTAAATGGCCATGAATGATTATTGGCAATTAGTCTAACAATTTGTTACTTAATCGTTTGAAAGATATACCCTCTTCCAAGAAACCACATTTTAGAAATGTCAACAAATGCTGGAAGAATTAACAGTATTACAATTATAAGTTGGTTTAATCTCATAATGTTTTAATAAACTTAAAAATAATCATTTGAAAGGAACTTCATATTTAATTTTCCATTGTATTTTTTACAGGCCTTTGTAGTAAGTCACTAAAGAACTCAAGCACTGGTGATGTTTTGTTTATGTACCTGCTTTAATAACTGAGAGACACTCTCTACTTTTCAAAATGTTCTTGTTTATTATGCAAGTTTAAGTGAAAAGAGCATGTAAAGATTTTTTCCCTTGTAATAGCAGCTTAAATCTGATTGAACCTTGTTGTGACATTTCAAAAGTCCAAAACCAAGGACCCAGTGGCTTTGTAAAGGTTTTGAAATACAAGCCTTGCTTACCTGATGCTGTATAAAACGCTGCCATCCTGGAAAATCCGAAGCAACTTGTTATCAGTGGTGACCTCATGGAAATTGGCTCCTTTCTCATTTGCAAAGAATAAATCAGGTTTCCAGATAGAGTCCAGCATAGAGGGATCCAGATCTAAGGAGTCATCTGGATATTCACTATAAGCCAGACGAGGGTCATTCCATTTTTGCCGTAGAAAAACGTTAAGCCTGTAGTCCTGCGGAAGAACTCAGGATAGTTAATGGAAAATATATCATCAGTAGAGGTTCGAGGACAGGGGGAAGGCTTAGATGTGGACTTTTCCCGCCATTCTGGTTGGAAAAGCCATAAAAGATAAAAGTAAGATAAGAACCAGAATAACCAATGTATATAAGTAGGTATACACACTATTCCTCGATGATAAGAAAAAAAAAAATGGAATGAATGCAGATAACTTTCAATTTAATTTCTGACCGCTTTTGAGATGACGTGGCTGAGCGGCATCATGATCCCGAGAAGCAGAAATTTACATTGAAGTCGGCACAGGTGTTAAAAAAAAAAAACATATTTGCGATTTAAGGTCAAATGTTATGGAGTCAATTATGTCTTGCTTCATTTTATTCAAACAGTCTTACCAGGAAGACCTGAAACTTAAATTGTTTGCTCAAATATGCTGCTGCTGAACAGTTATTCAGCAGTACAAATGAAGTCAGCGTACTAGGCCCTAAACAATTCTGCCAGCCGATAACAAACTAACGTAATTACTTGATATTTAAGTATTGACAACCACAAATATCATAAATCACAAAATATGTTTTGGCATTATATGCAGCTGTTTTTACTAAAGTTTCAGATTAAACACATTCTATAAATGCACATACAATTACATCACTGGTGTTATTCGCTGGGGCCAATCCTCCTCCACTCCCCTGATCCCCTTTAACAATGTTGTACCGCACAGAGCTGACCCAGCAACAAAAGCACCTCCCTCGTTTCACCTCTTCCCCTTTTCATTCATTTTCTCAATTTTTCATTTTAATTGCTGACTGGACAGTTCATTATCAGCATGTCAGTGACCCACTGGTGTCTGAAGGTTGCACTGCTATGCTCTGGGAAATGGAATGGACTGAATAGCTTTAGCACCAAGAGGATTAAGAAGAAAGATGGTGTAGATGATGAGGACAAGGGATGTTTGGGGGTCTTTTAAGAAATCGTGTAGAGATAACTACGGTGATGATGTTCAAAATTTAGATATGTCAATAAACCTATTTTGTGCAACCAGGGTTTGTACCATTTAGAAAAAAACACAAATAGCATATATACTACGTACAACTTCTTAAATCTTCAGTGTTCTTACCATAGTAGTTTCTGTGATTGAGCCAAAGCTGTTGATGAAAATATTGCAGGTGACATTCACAGGAGGGCCTACGGGAAAAAAACACACTGAATGTTTACAAAGTTCTCCCTAAAATGGGATTTGAGAGATTATACATTAGAAATACCTAATATAGTGTACATCTCCTGAGACTTTTGGTAAATGTCAGTGTCGTCATTACTTTGCTGCCATGTCACATCACAGTGACTGGGAGTATTACTGCAGCTGATTTAATGTCTAGCTCAAGCTGACAGGGAAAGGGGGCATGAAGAGACATGCATTAACATATGTTGAATCCTGATTCTAGGCAGTCAAAATTATGGAAATGTTCCCAAGTGATGGAAAAGCTAGATCCAAATCTATACTGTTACTACTATTCTTCAGATAGTTGTAAAGCTTTAATGTTATGAGCTACCCTTCTCAACCAGAATGCCAGCTTTCCTGTTGCACAACTAAGAGCTATTTTGACCATTTATTAAATCAGAGTAAGAAGAAAGTAATTAAAGCAATCATAGAAACCTGCAACAGATAATTGTACCACATGCAGGGTAAATGCTTGTCCTTCAGTGATTAAAAATCTCTACTTTATATGCCAACAGGTTTCCTTAATATGGTTCCTTGACTTTCCTCTGTGCAAGCAGAAAAAAGATGTTCTTCCAGCATTCATATAAATGTAAACAGGTGAATTATAAACTTTTTCATACCTGTATGAGGACATAATTTCAAATTTTTTGACACAGCATACTGCCAATACACAGGGGAAAACCCTGGTATTCAGCTTTCACAGCACATATCTATCAGTGTTTGTTTTTGTCTCTAGAGCTGGTGCCTCTACTTTTCTTGAGGGTGACTGTGATGGTCAGCCTTAGCATACACTGTACCTTTGAAGTTGGGTCTAATGCGCGCATCATATCCTGACGTTTTCCCCATGAGCTTGTCCAGGAAGTCAGAAGGTGACAGCTGTGGCCCAGCCCTGCTGGGGGTCTTTATCTCCTCTTTACAGGAGCTCTGTCTGACATTTCCCAGGAAAGTGGCAGAGACACAGAAAGAAAAGAATGATGATTTGAAAAACATAAAGGAGTGTTAATATTTGCGTGTATGTTTACATACAATAAAACATGATATGATTTAGAAGAGTGGCAGTTGGGGGTTGAGGAGAAACCACCAGCAATCAGAAACCACTAGCAATCAGCAAGTCAGTCATCAGCAAAAAAATAACCAGTGGAGGGATATAAGGATGAAAAATGACAATGGAACGGGTTGCCTCAGTTGGAATCTTGAGCTTATTTATTTCCCATCATGTCTTTGACTTATTCTGGTTATTTGGCTCACATAAAAAAGGAAAAGGAAAATAGAAGCATGGGTAAACTTGTCCTTACCCTGTGCTTCCCACTGCTAGCTCCTTAGCAGGGGTAAGGCTGACAGATTGATGGCTCAATTGTAATGCTATGAATGTCACACTGGGGAGAGGAAGGAGCTCAGACAACCACTATAACCAAAAGGTACAACTGAAAGTATAGATGAGGGAAGACTAAAGAAAAAGATAAGGAAAGAAAATGGTCTTTATACCAGGGAGCAATAGTTCATAATTGATTTGATTGAATTTTGGCCCCTGCTGTGGCACAGCACATTGCACCCTACGATTTTGATTCAACTTTAAACAGCTCTTGATTTGTCATGATCTGAAGCACTGCGGTGCAAATGGAAAGTTCATTCAGTGCTCTCCAAGGCAAATTTGGGCCCGCAAGGGTACTGAACTACTCTGATGTTATGTGTTTTATTGAGTGTGTTTGGAGCCAGTCATAGATCCATCAGTCTCAAAGCCCCGTGGTTGTAGAATCAGATAAAAAGAAAAGCCAGGGAGCTACAGGGTAGAAAACTGGGTTTGATTTTTCAGGAACTTCATGAGTGAATACTGAGTTGATCAAGATACATTTTGTTTCATATAGTGCAGTTTACAGCAATAAAATCAAAATGAAAACGAATCAGTGTTCAGAGCAGAACTGAAACACCATGTGATAAAATTGTGAATGCTCTATCAAGTAAATCTTGTCATCAAGTGTTTCAATTATTTGTTTTCATTTATTACTTTTTCTAAATAGGCTTTAGCTACATTCCTCTGGAAATATTTCACTACAATGAGTGATGGCCATTGATTTTTGCTTGTTAATTGGATGCAGTTATTGCTCTATAATGCCCATTATTATCTTTCTTTCAATATATTATTGCTTCCTCTTTTTGTTTGAATATCATTTGGTGGTTCCAATGGAGAGTTACTATTGGCCATGGCTTGTGATTTTACTTCCGTCCTGGCACTATGGAGCAATGTATCACATTTGACAGAAAGTGGATTCTTCTTTCAGTTGAGTTTTATTGTTACCATGCAATTTATTTTGCAAATGTTTTGTCCAGTAATTTTCATGTTCCACAGTCAATTCAAGTTTAAGCTATCTTTTTTTCTGCTGCTGTATTTTAAGAACCATTTAGCATATTTGACCAATGTGGGCAGAGGTATATCCCCGAGGTTAATTATAGAACAAATAATAAAAAGTATTTTTCTTTAATATCTCTCTCCACAAGTTTGATTTCCATAAAGCAGAGCACAGTCTTCATTAGATTACAAACCTCAACTGTCCCTGGTCTCTTGACTCCAATCTTCTTCTCTTCCACATTGTAGTGGTGCAGTTGTTATTGTTAGTCAGTACCTCTTTTATCATTATCTGCCTCTCACGTACACTGATGCAAACTCTCAAAGGTGCACAATGAGATCGAGTGATGAGCAGAGTTATTTGAAGACAGTCATTTCTAATCTTTCTTGGGCTTGTCCCTTTTATAACAAAACCATAAAAACATCCACTTTGAACTTGAATTGTTATATTAACCGATTTTAGAAAAATAATTTCCTAAAAACTATGTGACAAAAGTCAACTGAAAATGCTTTTTTGCATTCAGTCTCCTCTGAAGTTGCTTTGGGATGTTAAATGTTATCCGCATAATGGATATAATGGCAGTCACTCATTAAAGGACAGTAAATCTACAGTTTCAAGAGACTATAAAACTAGTATCACTGAAAAGGGCTCCCACAAGTCTTTGCAACTCATTACATGGTTCTATGTCTGAATGATCCAATTATTAAGATGCTCTTTGCTGACATTTAATTAGCTTGACCTTTTGCTTCTCCCTGCATCCCTTTTATTTGAGCATTGGTGCCAGACTGTTGTCTAGAATATATAACGACTTTCTTGCCATCTCTTAAATTGTAAGCTTTGGTTGTCACATGCACTTAGTAAGTAACTACATGGCTACGAAAGCAAACCAAGGGGGAAATACAATAGGTTACACAAGCAAAAATCTAATTTAGGAAACCTGGTATGTTTGAAATTTAAGCCTGCCACACAGTCCTTCTCCTTCTCTCAGTGCATTTCTAATGTACATGTAATATAAAAACACTAAACAGGATTAAATAGACATGGGAGCCATGTCAGAAATCCCTGGACTTTTCTGTTGACGGTAATTACATTGAAGATGGATTCAATACTTGTGCGACTTCTGACATTTGCTTGGCAGTTTTTCATCAACTTGCACTAAAACCAATTTAGTCTGCAGTTATGAGAGAGACACTGTCATAACAAAACGGTCAGTGCCAAGTTCAACATTTCAGAGGACGCCATTTTCTCACTGCTTTACTTTACTTGACTTAATAAAAATGGCAGTTCATTTCGATCAAAGTAGCAAAGCACCAACATTTGTGTACCAGAAAACGGGAAGCTGTCATTGTTTACAGACACAGATGCAGATACCAGTGTCAACCAAAGCTGTGACTGCTCATTTTCTCAAAGAAAAAATATTCTTGGACATTCAACAGCTTCTCAAAAGGATCAAAGTTCTGATTAGATCCTGCTACTGGTCAAGAAACCTCACTGATATGATCACTGAATAGAAAGCTTTTCTAATTTGCATACGGAACAATGATTGCACAAGGACATTGTCAGTGTCAGTCATTTCAGCTTTTGCCTTAAAAGAAACTTGTGTTCAACTGTTATTTAATGGTGATAGTGACGACATGAATGTTTTTAGAGCAACATCTATTGCATGTGGCCAGGAAAATGGATTTCTGAGCCTTCCATTGACTTCACAGCTTTTACAGTGTGTTAAAGTCCTCCCTTAATCTGCCAATAAAAAGACAGTTATCAATTTAATGGTGAAGGAAGAGGTCCATTTAACAGTCAGATACAGACCGTTCCCCTCAGAGTTGCTCTTTATCTAAACTAAACAAAAAAAAGAAGTGAATATTGAACATTTATTAAAAAGATAACATATTCAATTAACTTTTTAAAAACTAATTATTCCCATGAGGAGATACAATCTTGTGCAGTGTAAATTATTTAGAAATAACAAAAAAAAACCCTACAATCTTTTTAAAAGTTAGATTTAGCCATGAATTATGACTCCAAATAATTCTGATGCCATGAGGGTGTGATGGTTGTGAAAATCATTGAAATTGTTCCATATCAAATTAAAAGTTAAACTGTCATAAAGGACAAAAATAGGTTTTATTTTCATCCACCCAAAGCTTAGTTTATTCTAAACCATAATATTCCATTCCATTTATTACTTTTCTTTAATTAAGTGACATTTTTATTTTGCCTAATCAATTGTGCACCATGTTGTCACAAGATTAAAAAACATGTTTCATGTTTATGTTTCAGTTGTAGAACAACAAGTATAATTGAACCCAATAAGTGCATTGAAGGGAAAAATGATTTATGTCTTTCTCATGGCCATGATCGTATTATTTTATTTATGTGGCTGGTTTGGTTCAACTACTGCATGCTTACTTCTCCAGCTGACGTGTTAAAGAAATCTTCCTCTGTATTCTGGCCTTCAAGTCTGACACTATATTTAAATCATAAGGAGTGTGTTGAATTGTCTATTATTGATCTAGTTTCTAAAACCACAGTGGTGTTCAAGACATGATAACTTTAGAGTCTTGTACATGATACATGATGATAACTTTCAGTGACTAAACAGTTTGTGTAGAAAATAGAACAACCAGCATAACTTAAGATTTTTTTTCCTGGTTAGTGCATCATTCATAACGACAAGAGAGATATTTGCACATGTGTTAAGAAAAAATAAGCCTGAACTGTCATTTTGTATTGAATATGGCTCAGCTGTAAAAGATCATGTACAGGGAGGGTGAGAATGTGTCGAGAGACGAGGTCAGAAGGGACAGCAATTTTTGTGTTTGCAAAGTTCACTGCTTCCTTATTTCCTTGGCACTAAGCATCAGAAAAGCACATTGTTTCACATTGTATATGGGAGATTTCAGGGCCATTACATGCACACATGAACAATAATCTGATGAAATCATTCATTCTGCTCAACCTGTGAGCTTGAATTTTGTCATTTGAAAAATAATTTCTGACTACCACCTTTTAATGCTGACAACTGATCTTTTATATTAACACAATCTTCTACCAGGTCAACCAAACCATACAAATACATTATTTCTACTCAAAACTTTCACTAAATAGACACCCAACCATTGAACACACTTCTATATATGTTGCCCTATGGGGTGCTGCTGTCCCCTTTTGATCAATAGACTCATTGGGGAATGGTATTTGGAGCACACAGCAATTTAACCTTACACATTCATCTTCAATGACATGACCACTGCCACTCGTGCACTGTGACACTTCTAAGTATGGAAGCAGAGATACCGGCTCAGCTTCCTACAGTAGTAGTAGTAGCTCCTTGCTTTATCTGGCTATCGCTACATGGACTACATGTGGAAATGAAGTGAAGACCAGAGGTATAAGACTGACTAAAACTTTTAGAGGATGGAAAAGTGAACATCAAAATCCAAAGTATCCCTAAGCAGAAGCACGACAAACACTGTGTAATAGAGCAAAATCTGGATTTTGTTGTGGGGGTCACTAGAAAATCAGAGTTTAGTAGGATCGAGGTGAAATGAAAAGCTGTGCGGATTAAAAGCCTTGTTAAGAAAGCTGCTTTGCAAGGTAGATGGCAAGAAACTGATAAGTAATGTTTACAATG